TAGCCAGGATGGTCTCGATCTCCTGACCTCGTAATCCGCCCGTCTCGGCCTCCCAAAGTGCTGGGATTACAGGCTTGAGCCACCGCGCCCGGCCGATTGTCTAAATTTTAAAAGGCAGATTCTAAAATGAGTAATCCTAGAATTTAGCTATGGTAACATACGGTGCTATGTACATTTTATCTTTATAGCCAAATGGCCACATATAATTTTTATATTATTTATTTTTTATTGAGGTAAAATGTACATATATAATACAGAATATACACATCTTTACCCTTTTTTTTTTTCCCTCTTTTCTTTTTTTTTGAGACAGAGTCTCACTCTGTCGCCCAGGCTGGAGTGCAGTGGTGTTATCTTGGCTCACTGCAATCTCCGCCTCCTGGGTTTCAGTGTTTCTCCTGCCTCAGCCTCCCGAGTAGCTGGGATTACAGGCGCCCGCCACCACGCCTGGCTAATTATTTGTATTTTTAGTAGATACAGGGTTTTGCCGTGTTGGCCAGGCTGGTCTTGAACTCCTGACGTGAGGTGATCTACCCATCTCTGCCTCCCAAATTGCTGGGAGTACAGGCATGAGCCACCGTGCCCAGCCATCTTTACCATTTTTAAGTATACAGTTCAGTAGTAATAAATACATTTATATTCTTTTTTTCCTCTCTTCAGTTCCCTCCACCCACTTCCTGGCCTTTGGTAATCACCAGTTTATTTATCTTTATGAGATCCACCTTTTTAGCTCTGACATATGAGTGAGAACATGCAATAGTTGTCTTTCTGTGCTTGGTTTATTTCACTTAACATAATGGCTTCCCGTTCCATCCATATTGCTGCAGATGACAGGATTTCATTTATTTTTGTGGCTGAATAATATTCCATAGTGTGTATATGCCACATTTTCTTTATCCATTCATTTATTGATGGGCACTTAGGTTGACTTCATGTTTTGGCCATTGTGAATAGTGCTGCAATAAACATAGGAGTACAACTATCTCCAATGTATTGATTTCCTTTGTTTTGGATATAAACACCCAGTAGTGATATTGCTAGATACTATGGTAATTTCCGTATTTTTAGTTTTTTGAGGACTGTCTATAATGTTCTACAAAGCGGCCTTACTAAATTGCATTCCCACCAATAGTGTATGAGTGTCCCTTTTCTCTACATCCCTGCCAGCATCTGTTACTGCCTTTTTTTTTTTTTAAACGGAGTCTTCCTCTATTGCCCAGGCAGCCTTCACCTCCCGGGTTCAAGTGATTCTTAGCCTCTGCCACCCAAGTACCTGGGATTACATGCATCACCATGCCCAGCTAATTTTTATAAATTCCAAAGTCCTGGGATTTACAGGCGTGAGCCACCTTGCCCAGCCTTGCCTGTCTTTTTGATACAAGCCATTTTGACTGGGGTGAGATGATATCTCATTGTGGTTTTGATTTATATTTCTGTGATTATAGTGTTTAACATTTTTTCATATAGCTTTTGGCCATTTGTACGTCTTTTGAGAAATGTCAGTTCAGATGTTTTGCCCATTTGTAAATGAGATTATTTGGTTTTCTGCTATCGAGTTTGAGCTCTTTATATATTCTGGTTATTAGTCCTTTTTTAGATAGACAGTTTGTAGACACTTTCTTCTGTTCTTTAGTTTATCTCTTCACTTTGTTGGTTGTTTCCTTTGCTATACAGAGCTTTTTAGCTTGATACAATACCCATTATCTCTCTTTGCCTGTGCCTTTGTGGTCTTACACAAAAAACCTTTACCTAGACCAATGTCCTTTTTTCACTTCTTTGGGTAGATTGATTCCTAGGTGTTTTACTTTTTTTTTTTTTTTTTAAGCTATTGTAAATGGAATTGCTTTCTTGGTTTGTTTTTCAGATTGTTTACTGTTGGTGTATATAAATGGCTACTGATTTTTTTTTAATTTTAGTTTTTAAGAAGAGATGGTGTCTCACTCTATTGACCAGGCTGGTCTCAAACTCCTAGCCCACGCAATCTTCCCACTTTGCCGTTCGAAAGTGCTGGGATTACAGGCATGAGCCACCATGCCCAGCCATGATTTTTTAATGTTGATTTTGCATCCTGCAACTTTACTGAATTCATTTATCAGTTCCAGCCGTTTTTTTTTTTTTTTTTTTTTTTGGTGGGATCTTTAGGTTTTTCTAGGTATAAGATCATGTTATCTGCAAATAATGTTAATTTGACTTCTTTCCTTCCACTTTGGATACCCTTTGTTTCTTCTTTCTTCTTTCTCTTCCTCTTCTTTTTTTTTTTTTGGCCTAATTGCTGTGGTTTTTGTATATTTTATTAAGAATTTAAAACCTAACCGAAGAGTCATTCTTCTCCAACCCTCTCAAAACCTTTCAAGTGTTTTGTTTTGTTTTGTTTTGTTGTTATTGTAGTTTTTGAGACAGAGTCTTGCTCTGTTGCCCAGGCTGGAGTGCAGTGGTGCAACCTTGGCTCACTGCAGCCTCTGCCTCCTGGGTTCAAGCGATTTTTCTGCCTCAGCCTCCCCAAGTAGCTGGGATTACAGGCGCCCACCACCATGCCTGGCTAATTTTTGTATTTTTAGTAGAAATGGGGTTTCACCAGGTTGGCCAGTCTGGTCTCAAACTCCTGACCTCAAGTGATCCACCCACCTCGGTCTCCCAAAGTGCTGGGGA